GAACAATATTCACATTATAGGGGTACCAGAAGAAGAAGAGAAAGAGATAGAAAGTGTTTTTGAGGAGGTAATTGCTGAAAACTTCCCCAATCTGGGGAAGGAGATAGCCTCTCAGGCCATGGAGATGCACAGATCTCCCAACACAAGGGACCCAAGGAAGACAACACCAAGACATGCAGCAATTAAAATAGCAAAGATCAAGGATAAGGGCAGACTTTTAAAGCAGCTAGAGACAGAAAAAAGATCACATACAAAGGAAAACCCATCAGGCTATCATAAGACTTCTCAGCAGAAACCTTACAGGCCAGAAGGGAGTAGCATGATATATTTAATGCCAAGAAGCAGAAAGGCCTCCAATCAAGATTACTTTATCTGGCAAGATTAGCATTTGAATTTGAAGGAGGGATTAAACAATTTCCAGATAAGCAAAAGCTGAGAGAATTTACCTCCCACAAACCATCTCTACAGTGTATTTTGGAGGGACTGCTATAGATAGAAGTGTTCCTAAGGTTTAATAGGTGACACCAGAGGTAATAAAACCACAGTAAAGAAACTTGAACAGTTAATTACTAGGCAAATGCAAAATTAAATTAACTATCCCCAAAGGCAATCAAGGGATAGACAATGAGTATAGAATATGATACCTAATATAGAAAGAATGGAGGAGGAGGAAAAAGGTGGAGAAAATAAAAAAGAACCTTTAGATCGTCTTTGTAAAAGCATATTATATGAGTTAAGTTAGACCTTAGATAGTAAGGAAGTTAACCTTGAACCTTTGGTAATGATGAATCTAAAGGCTGCAATGGTAATAAGTACATACCTATTGATAATCATCCTAAATGTAAATGGACTGAATGCACCAATCAAAACACATACAGTCACTGAATGGATAAAAAATAAGACCCATCTATATGCTGCCTACAACAGACTCACTTTAAACCCAAAGACATACACAGACTAAAAGTGAAGGGATGGAAAAAGATATTTCATGTAACTAATAGGAAGAAAAAAGCAGGAGTTGCAGTACTTGTATCAGACAAAACAGACTTCAAAACAAAGAAAGTCACAAGAGACAAGGAAGGACATTACATAATGATAAAGGGGTCAATCCAACAAGAAGATATAACCATAAATATCTATGCACCCAACACAGGAGCACCTACATATGTGAAACAAATACTAACCGAATTGAAAGGGGAAATAGAATGCAATGCATTCATTCTAGGAGACTTCACCACTCCACTCACTCTGAAGGACAGATCAACCACACAGAAAATAAGTAAGGACACTGAGACACTGAACAACACATTAGAACACATGGACCTAAGAGACATCTACAGAACTCTACAACCAAAAGCAGCAGAATACACATTCTTCTCAAGTGCACATGGAACATTTTCAAGAATAGATCATATACTAGGACACAAAAAGAGCCTCAGTAAATTCAAAAAGATTGAAATTGTACCAACCAGTTTCTCAGACCACAAATGTCTGAAACTAGAAATAAATTAAGCAAAGAAAGTGAAAAATCCCACAAACACACGGAGGCTTCACAACATGCTCCTAAATAACCAATGTATCAATGACCAAATAAAAACAAAGATCAGGCAATATATGGAGACAAATGACAACAGTAATTCAACACCACAAAAATCTGTGGGACACAGCCAAGGCTGTGCTAAGAGGAAAGTATATTGAAATACAGGTCTACCTCAAGAAAGAAGAACAATCCCATATAAGCAGTCTAAACTCACAATTAATGAAACTAGAAAAAGATGAACAAATGAGGCCCAAAGTCAGTAGAAGGAGGGACATAATAAAGATTAGAGCAGAAATAAATAAAATTCAGAAGAATAAAACAACAGAAAGAATCAATGAAAGCAAGAGCTGCTTCTTTGAGAAAATGAACAAAATAGATAAACCCCTAGCCAGACTTATCAAGAAAAAAAGAGAGTCTACACACATAAACAGAATCAGAAATGAGAAAGGAAAAATCACTATGGACACCACAGAAATACAAAGAATCATTAGAGAATGCTATGAAAAATTATATATTAACAAACTGGATAACCTAGAAGAAATGGACAACTTTCTAGAAAAATACAACCTTCCAAGGCTGACACAGGAAGAAACAGAAAATCTGACAAAACACCTGTACCAGATGGCTTCACCACTGAATTTTAATCAAACCTTTAGTCAAGACATAGTACTCATCCTTCTTAAAGTTTTCCAAAGAGTAGAAGAAGAGGGAATACTTCCAAACTCATTGTATGAGGCCAGCATCACTCTAATACCCAAACCAGGCAAAGACACCACAAAAAAAGAAAATTAAACACCCATATCCCTCATGAATATAGATGCAAAAATATTCAACAAAATATTAGCAAACCAAATTCAAAAATACATCAAAAAGCTCATCCATTATGATCAAGTAGGATTTATTCCAGAGATGCAGGGATGGTACAACATTCGAAAATCCATCAGCATCATCCACCACATCAACAAAAAGAAGGACAAAAACCACATCATCATCTCCATAGATGCTGAAAAAGAATTTGACAGAATTCAATATCCATTCATGATAAAAACTCTCAATAAAATGGATATAGAGAACAAGTACCTCAACATAATAAAGGCCATATAAGACAAACCCACAGCCAACACCATACTTAACAGCGAGAAGCTGAAAACCTTTCCTTTAAGATCAGGAATAAGACAAGGATGCCCACTGTCCCCACCATTATTCACCATAGTACTGGAGGTCCTAGCCACAACAATCAGACAACACAAAGAAATACAAGGCATTCAGATTGGTAAAGAAGAAGTTAAACTGTCCCTGTTTGCAGATGACATGATATTGTACATAAAAAAAACCCTAAAGAATCCACTCCTAAACTACTAGATCTAATATCTGAATTCAGCAAAGTTGCAGGATACAAAATCAATACACAGAAATCAGTAGCATTCCTATAAACTAACAATGAACTAGCAGAAAGAGAATCAGGAAAACAATTCCATTCACAATTGAATCAAAAAGAATAAAATACCTAGGAATAAACCTAACCAAGGAAGTGAAAGGCCTGTACTCTGAAAACTATAAGACACTCATAAGAGAAATTAAAGAAGATACCAATAAATGGAAACACATCCCATGCTCATGGATAGGAAGAATTAATATTGTCAAAATGGCCATCCTGCCTAAAGCAATATACATATTCAATGCAATTCTTATCAAAATACCAACAGCATTCTTCAATGAACTAGAGAAAATCCTTCTAAAATTCATATGGAACCACAAAAGACCCCGAATAGCCAAAGCAATTCTGAGAAGGAAGAATAAAGCTGGGGGGATTATGCTCCCCAACTTCAAGCTCTACTACAAAGCCACAGTAATCAAGACAATTTGGTACTGGCACAAGAACAGAGCTATAGACCAATGGAACAGACTAGAGAGCCCTGGTATATGCCCAACCATATATGGTTAATTATTAATATATGATAAGGGAGCCATGGACATACAATGGGGAAATGACAGCCTCTTCAATAACTGGTGTTGGCAAACTGGACAGCTACATGTAAGAGAATGAAACTGGATAATTGTTTAAACCCATACACAAAAGTAAATTCGAAATGGATCAAAGACTTGAATGTAAGTCATGAAACCGTAAAACTCTTAGAAGAAAACATAGGCAAAAATCTCCTGAATATAAGCATGAGCAACTTCTTCCTTAACGCATCTCCTCAAGCAAGGGAAACAAAAGCAAAAATGAACTCATGGGATTACTGTACATAAAAAAAGTTTCTTTACAGCAAAGGACATCATCAACAGAACAAAAAGGCATCCTACAGTATGGGAGAATACATTTGTAAATGACATATCCGACAAGGGGTTAACATCCAAAATATATAAAGAATATACACACCTCAACACCCAAAAAGCAAATAACCTGATTAACAAATGGGCAGAGGATATGAAGAGACAGTTCCCCAAAGAAGAAATTCACATGGCCAACAGACACATGAAAAGATGCTCCACATCACTAATCATCAAGGATATGCAAATTAAGACCACACTGAGATATCACCTCACACCAGTTAGGATGGCCAGTATCTAAAAGACTAAGAACAACAAATGCTGGCAAGGATGAGGAGAAAGGGGAACTCTCCTACACTGCTGGTGGGAATGTAAGTTAGTTCAACTATTGTGGAAAGCAATATGGAGGTTCCTCAAAAAACTAAAAATAGAAATACCATTTGACCCTGGAATCCCACTCCTTGGAATTTACCCAAGGAATACAACTTCTCAGATTCAAAAAGACATATTCACCCGTATGTTTATCGCAGCACTTTTTACAATAGCCAAGAAATGGAAGCAACCTAAGTGTCCATCAGTAGATGAATGGATAAAGAAGATGTGGTACATGTACACAATGGAATACTATTCAGCCATAAGAAAGAAACAAATCCTACTATTTACAACAACATGAATGGAGCTGGAGGACATTATGCTTAGTGAAATAAGCCAGGCAGAGAAAGACAAGTGCCAAATGATATCCCTCATTTGTGGAGTGTAACAATGAAACAAAACTGAAGGAACAAAATAGCAGCAGACTCAGAGACTCCAAGAAGGGACTAGTGGTTACCAAAGGGGAGGGTTGTGGGAGGGTGGGTGAGGAGAGAGGAAGAAGGGGATTGAGGGGTATTATGTTTAGTACACATGGTGTTGGGGATCACGGTGAGAACAGTGTAGCACAGAGAAGGCACATAGTGAATATGTGGCATCTTGCTACACTGATGGACAGTGACTGCATTAGGGTATGAGTGGGGAGTTGATAATATGGGTAAATGTAGTAACCACATTGTTTTTTCATGTGAAACCTTCATAAGAGTGTATATCAAGAATACCTTAATAAAATTTTTTTTAAAAAAGTATAACTCTTATTGCATGTTAAGCTTTTCAACACCACAGTGAGAGCTGTGGTCAATGGATGGCCACTTACAGAAGGCGCAGTGGGAACCAGGTCATCTTCTGTTCTTCCTGTCTGCATTGCGGTGTGAACCCGAACGGATTCATAAATGGAGGGTTCTTCCACTTTTCTTGGATAGGGATGTTTCAGAACAATCAGAGTGCCTACATGAAGACAAAGAAGCATAATCAAACAGCATCCCCAGAAAGAAGGTTCAAATGCTAACAATCAGATAACCGTGGCTGGACTCTGCAGTCTCTTGCTTTTTCATGTATTCATTTATTCATTTTCCCAACACTTACCAAGTACCAACTATGTGCTTAAGCTGGGCAGTGGAGAGATAAAGCACAATGAGATGATTCTCGGCCTTCCAGTACTCAGACAGAAGTAACAGTAGACATCGTTTAACAAGTAGTCATCAAATGAACAGGGTAGTGAGACCACTATCATGGATGTGAGCAGTGGGGGGGGCCCTCTGATGGCACACTGTAGGAAAGCTTTCGTGGAGGAGGTGACATTGATCTAGACATTAAGCAATAACTGGAAGTTTACCAGGCAGACTTGGTAAAGGCTAGGAAAACAAAACCCACCAAATGCCCCAGCGTAGAGAATTTGTTCCATTGCCCATGTTTCTTTCTTGTCTCAGAACAAACATGCAACCAATCAGTAGATCTCAACAAAGTGGACTCACAGCTTTCTCCCTGCTGCCTCCTGCTACCTAATTAACAAAATAAATTAAATGAAGCCTTTGCTTTCTTAAGTGAAGATGACATGTATAGGCTCGTTTGGCTGCCTTCACTGCCATCTAGACGAGGGGGTCCAGGCAGAAAAAGGGCTCCCCCCGGGGGCCAAGCTTTGGGGCTTGGGCACATGGTTCAGAAGGCTGACAGCAGTTCTGACTCAACACTCCAACATCTCCCCATTCTGCATCTTTCCCTTCCCCCTTAGTCAGTCAACCAGAAACTAGATTCTTTGACTATAAAGAGTAAGTTAAAAAAATTTTAAAAAAGAAGAAGTTAAGGTTTTTTTTCCACCCTTGCAATGGCTTTTTGCTCTTTATTTCACTAGGGTCTTTCATAGGCAAGCATGAGGTTGTACCAGACACTGGTGGAGGTGTCAAAAATTTGGTAGTCCATTCGACCGATAGTTACTGAGCTCTATCTACTATGTGCCAGGTACTCATCCAGGGAGAATACAGTCGCAAACCAAGGCAATCAGCAGCTGCTTTCATGGTGTGGGGTCAGCAAACGGTCAGCAAGACTGAAAACAGGTATGGTACTCTGCCAGGGGAGAGGGGTTATGAAAGCCCCGACAGGGGGAGGGCAAGGCTGGTGGGGCACAGGCCGCTGGGAGCCGGGCTGCTACAGGGCGGTTGGAAAGATGTGTTTGAAAGGGTAATTTGAAAGATGATAGAAAGTATGGACCTCGTATTGGAGTAAGGAGAGACAAGGAGGTAAGAAAAACACTTCATCTGCAGTATTTTCAAATAAACCTACATACACAGCAAAACCATCCTACAGTGTTTGAATCTGGGCAGTATTCTGGCTGCAAAGATGGACTGTGGCTTCTGACACCTGGGCCCATAGAGCACGCCACTGCGAAGTGAAAAGGAGCAGTGAGAAAAACCAGGGATGGTCTCTGATCTTGGCTCCAGGGAAGAATGAGACTGCAGCCCCCTCCTCCTCCTGCGTGCAGTTCAGGTTGGTAGCATGGAGATCACTATGAGAAATGGCTCTCGCAGTATCAGCAGCCCCTGTCCTGCTCTTGCACTTCCTCTGTGCCTGCTTTTGTCAGTGCGAACCTTTCATGAGAGCAGAGCCAGTCCTACCAGGACCAGGGCCCCGTGAAGCTTTTCAGTCATAATGAAAGTGACACCTAAATCCAGCCAACCTAAATTCTGCAGGCTCAGGGTCAGGGGGGTCCCAGAAGGCACATGGTGGATGTGTGGCGAATTCGGGGCTGGCTCCTAGTGACCCACCCCAGAGATGCACCTTCAGGCCTGGAGCAGGCTCCCTGGCCTCACGGAAAGAGCTACCATTGCCACTCAGCATCTGTTGACCTTGGATGACCATTCTAGCTTCTGTTTCCTCCACCCCACCCCGTGAAAATAATTAGCCTTTCTTCCCAAGGCTGTTTTGGGCACCAAATAAAAGGATTATAAAAATATTACATGTTATTATGCTTTGATACAGAGTATTTTTAAACCCTTAAGTAGAAGTCCAGTGACCACATCTTTGGGAACATGAATTTTTTAAATGTTTATTTAAAGAAGAACTCTGTGCAACACCCTGCTAAGAACGAAAATGGCAGTAGTTTAGTAGTCACTGACTATGGCGCCAAGATGCGCTGATGTCTCCTAAATGCTTCCATCTGACAGTGGAGAAGAGGGGCCTGCAGCCCAGGGCTCAAAGAAGCTCTCAGATCAGAAAAAAATGTGAAATTTTGTGCTTTATCTTCAAAGTTCATGCCAAATTTTCATCCTCTTCCATATACTTAATACGAAAAAAAATTTTTTAATGTTTTAGAGAGAGGCACCTAGTTAATCCTCTTTTTGCATATAACCAGGGGTGACTGAGTCCCTTCAGAGCACATACGGTGCCAAATTTATCTTTGTATCTCCACCTCCTGACAGAGTTTCTGACATACTGAAGGCTTGATACGTGAGTGAATGAATGGATGGATGTCAGTCAAACAGTAATTCAGGTTTAAGTCATGGAAGAGCCTGGGATGAACCAGCCTCCCATCCATAATTACCCTGGACTGGGGCAAGGGCAGGACAGCTTCAAGGGTGGCTGTCCAAATCTCCATTGGGGGAACCCAAGTTCTATTTCATAAGCCTCCTCTGAAATTTAACCAACAAACGCTAAACTGAGGGAAATGATATCAAGTCAACAGGTAAGTAGAATTGACCAAAGTTTGATTTTTCACTAGTAAGACCACACATGAGGCTAGACTGAGTGATGGAATGAAGGAAACGACAAACTACCTAGAAAATGATAACTTCCACTTAAAAAATCTAACTTCCAAAAAGACAGGTCTCCTTAGCTGACCGTTCTGCCCAAAGAATCGTGGCATGGGTGCGAGGCCTACAGCGAGGTTCCCTTCTGTGGCGACTCTCATCCTCGTCCACAGGGGCAGATCCCGCCCACCCGGGCCCTCCCCGACCCCTCAGCTGGGCCACGCTCGTGGACCCACGTCCCTGGATATACGTAGGTCCTTCTCTGGAAAGAAGGTCCACTAGCTTCAGTTTCTGAACTGCATTAAAGAGACTGTTGTTTCCTGCCTTTGATATGAAACCTGGTTTCAGAAACAACGCAGGTCCTTTCTGAGGCGATCAGAGCAGGAGCGAAGCAGGCTTCTGAATTTGCTGAGAGCTTCAGTGTTGTGGTGACCATGAGACTGCTTCCTCATGGCTGCTTGTTGCTCAGCTTGCCCTTACGTTCTGGGAGGGAATACTAATATTCTTCCCCCAAAATTCCACTTCTCTCCTTGTTCCCCTCTTTTTTAAAAAATTCAACTAACCATGGGTGATTTCCATCATTTGCGATGAAAAGAAACTTATGTAATGTGGCCCCTCAGACTCATTATATTTCCACCCAAGGTGCAAGAGTGTGCCTGGGCTCCCTGGGAGAGGAGCTCTGGGTTAGTAACATTCGGGCCAAATTAAGTCCAGGGCTTGGTTGGGAGATGCAGATAGAAGGCAACAGGAGGCAGGGGCTGGCAGAGGGAGAAAAGAGGAAGAAGATCTGCAAGTACAGGTCTTGGAAACCTGGCTGCAAGTTTCACTTCAGGTTCTAAACTACATGAAGGAGATTGTTGTTTCCTGCCTTTGACATGAAACCTGGTTTCATAAATGCCTGGTGGAGGTGCCTCTTTGAGGTGATCAGTGCAGGACCAAGGCAGGCTTTCAACTTGCTTTGGCTGAACTGTAACTTACAGGACACTCACACTCTGTGTACAACACTATGAGACTGTGTCAGAGCACTCCTGAGCTGGCATTCCAGCAGGCAGTCAGGGAGAGAGGGAGAACAGTCTCAAGCCTGTTGATGGCTGTCTGAAATAGAGTGGAGTGTAAGAGCACACATAGTTCCTGAGAGGAAATCTTTTGTCTAGAATATTTCTCCTATGTGCTAAAGCCAGTGCTTATCCATCTGTTCCCCAGCTAGACTGTAAGATGTTTGAGGGTGAAGATGATCGGATTCATCACTACATTTTCAGTGGTTAACAGTGCCCAGCTCATAGTTGGCATTCAATATGTATTTGTTAAAGTAAAATATGATCATGTCCATCCATGTTTCATTATGGCTTCAGGTTCAGGAAACAGGCTTTGCAACTGGCTTATGCATGGCAGTTCCTCTGTCTCCTCCTGCCAGTGGGAAGTGGCTTTCTAGGGGGATTTACAGGAATATTCCAGAGCTTTTGCCTTTCTTCCTTGCAACCTGCTCTGCAAATGGACTTCAACCCATCATAAAATGGTGCTAGTAAAACCATGTGCCTTACATAAGAAGGGGCTTTAACGTTCCATTTCCAGTCTCACAGGGAGAAATACAGGGAAGTAGGAGAAGCAGGTCAGTTAGTCAGCACAAGAGAAACTTCTGTTAAAATATCCAAGTCAAGTCACGTCACTGTTTTTTGAGAAGATATTTGATTCTACCTTTCATATGAATCTACTATGAAACTGGCTTAAAATTGGAAGAAGACATCATATACATTTGATAAATACAAGTTTAATTGTCCCTAACTAACTCTTCATGATCTACCAAAAGATGTATAGTTCTCATGTATAATATGATGGAATGAATCACCACAAAAGGGCTTCCTTAAATAACAATGATAATGATTGAATATTTATGCCATTCTAAGAAGGATTCTAAATGTCATGCATGCCTAATCTCATTAAATCTTCATAGCAAGTCATGAAGTATTAAAATATGAACTATTAGACAATCAGCACACTTTTATAATGATGAAATTGAAGCTCAGGGAGGTCATGTGGCTTGCCTGAGGAGACACACAGCTGCTGCATGGCAGAAACTGGAGTTGAACTGGGAGGAATCCATGTTTACTCATTACACCAAATATTATTCTCAGCCCTGATGTGGCCACCTCGTGGAAAATCTCCACAGCATATGAAATGTTGTATCTATCATGGGCAAAAGAGCAT